AGCAGAGGCAGCAGTCATGTTGTCAACATGGTTCCAATCAGAAGGGGACATTTTTTGTGTAAACATTAAATGTGATTGTAGGAGAGTCCTGTCTAAACTATCGAGTTCAAATCGGAGTACTCTTATTCTCTCTGAGATTAGTGATAGGCTAGCATTAAACAGAATCCATTTAGAGTTCAGTGAAGATACAGCAGCAGATGTGAGTGTGAAAGCGATGGGTATTACCTTGTTATCGCGGCATCTTTTGAGGAAGGTTAGCTTCTCAATGAGCTGTGACTTCTTATCTCGTTGTCTGTTAAAAGCTCTAACAGATAGGTGAAAACCCTCCCCGGAGAGGTCATTAATTCCAGATTTGAAGCTTTCGTGACTGCAAGGATTCATACTCTTTGGTTTTTTCGGTAAAGTCACGTAGGTAAAACAAAATAAAAAGAAAAGAAAACAACTAAATCAAATCACGACGTTTTGGAGGCAACACAAGCTTCCGTATTCAGGTGGAACAGTCACAGCAAGATAGCTGCATCAAGTGGTGAGCTCTGAGACCCTTGAGCTTATATACAGGTTAAGGTGGGGGGGGAGGAGCCAAGCAAGGAGCGACAACGGCGTGCGGGGCTAAGGTTAAGGTGGGGGGGAGGAGCCAAGCAGGGAGCGACGACGGCGTGCAGGGCTAAGGTTAAGGTGAGGGGGAGGAGCCAAGCAAGGAGCGACGACGGTGTGCGGGGCTAAGGTTAAGGTGGGGGGGAGGAGCCAAGCAAGGAGCGACGGCGGCATGCAGGGCTAGGGATAAGGTGGGGGTGAGGAGCCAAGCAAGGAGCGACGACGGCGTGCGGGGCTAAGGTTGAGGTGGGGGGGAGGAGCCAAGCAGAGAGCGACGACGACGTGCGGGGCTAAGTTAATCCGTCTTTTGTTATGTTGAGGGTTCGGGGGAAGCGGTGGCTCACTGCACAGGGGCAATGAAAACATGGTAAAAAAAAATGGCTGTGCGCTTATAAGGTAGCTGAAGTTTTGACTTGGTTTATGACATCTTTCCAGTGGTTGCTTAATTTAAAACCATCCTCTCGGTTGAAGTTGTGTCTATGTTTGAATATCTGGATGGCTTCATGGACAAATCTTTGGTAATAACCGGGAGGTTTGCATAGTACTTTGGTATCGGAGAAAACAATGTCATGAGAACCCGCTGTGTTGAGACAATGATCAGTTACGGCCGAAGAATTTGTTCTGCCGTGTTTCAAATATGATTTGTGCTCGCGAATTCGGTCAGAAACAATAAAATACTCCGATTTGAACTCGATAGTTTAGACAGGACTCTCCTACAATCACATTTCATGTTAACACAAAAAATGTCCCCTTCTGATTGGAACCACATTGACAACATGACTGCTGCCTCTGCTGATTCACTGTCAGTCAAATGCAAAGCTAACCTGATTGCTAAATTCAACCTCCTATCAAAGAAGAGGCCAGAACCACACATCACAAAACTGGATGTTAACAAAATCGCTATTAATCAGAGTAACATCCCGATTTTGGACAATCTGAAAACGGTACTGGCTAAAGGGCTAAATTTCGCTGTTACTCCTAAACATATACCAGTGGAGGATGTGATCTCTCAGGTCGATGTAGCCCTCAAAGGCATAGGATACATCCAAACGGACGTTGCGAGAGCTATTCTCAAGAATGCTAAGAAACCCACTAGCAACATTAGCAAAAACGAACGCTCTGAACTTACGAATTTGAAATAGAGGGATGATATAGTCATCCTCTCGGCATACAAGGGCAATGCTACTGTTATCATGGATAAAAACTCATACAACAACAAAATCCAGGACCTACTCAATGATGGTAGTTACTCCAAAATTAAAAGTGATCCTATTAACAGCCTAACGACAAAAACCAGCAAGATCATCACTATATTCTTGGTTCTTTCGGTAAAGTCACGTAGAAGGGAAACAATAAAATAATAAAAATACAAAACCTAATGATGGTTTTCACACCTGATGATGATTGCTTGTGTTGCAGTCGAAACGTCGTCAGGTTTTGACACCTGATGATGATTGCTTGTGTTGCAGTCGATACGCCGTGAGAATTTTATTGTTTTATATTTTTATTATTTTATTGTTTCCCTTCTACGTGATTTTACCGAAAGAACCAAGAATATGAATCCCTGCAGTCACGAAAGCTTTAAATCAAGATCATCACTAGTTCGACTTCCCTAATCGAACCAACTAAACGTCTCTCCCTAAAACCCTCGGCTGCAAGACCTCCCAGATTATATGGTCTTCCCAAGATCCATAAAGAAGGCACCCCACTACGGCCCATCGTGTCTACGATCAACTATCCTACCAACAAGCTAGCCCGTTTTTTATCGGATACTCTGCTTCCCTTCACTGTCAAGACCACCTCAGCAGTCCTTAACTCAACCCAATTGGTTTCTATGGTCAAGGACATTGTACTCTCTCCTGACGACATCCTCGACAGCTTTGATGTGGTCTCTCTGTTCACCAAGGTCCCAGTGCCTGACACCATAACAATAATTGAAGACTTGGTCCAACATGGACTGATCCCGGATGTACCTGCGCTGGTGAGGGACTGCCTCACCAACACTTACTTTACCTGGAATGATACCCTCTATAAACAAAATGAGGGTACCCCTATGGGTTCCCCCTTGTCACCAGTGATAGACAATGTTTTCATGGAGAAGTTTGAATCAGACGCCATCCAGACATCCACCCTTCGTCCTTCCCTGTGGAAGAGATATGTGGATGACACTTTAGTCATTTGGCCACATGGCCTCCCAAGTCCCGGGCGAAGCCGGGTAGTACAGCTAGTACCTAATAAATGAAACTGAAACCTTCTGTTTCAGCAGAACCAATTTTCGCGAATTAGTGTTAATTTTTATTATTCCCTTAACTTCAAAGGCCCGGGGTGACGTTGTATGTTCAGTCTGCTTGGTCGCTTCCGATTTCCATTCCAGAAAGACAAATACCACTGGCGGCACATCAACGTAATTTACGCATTAATTATGTCGCAGGGTTATTATGTGAGGATCTGCTGCCATGCCCAATCACTCCATATATGGGCACGTCTCGTTAGCATAATTTATTCCTACACATTTCCGTTGACTTGAAGGGAGGCGTTGGGTGCCAGCGACGTCATGTCATCTCCTCCACCGCGCGCTAACGTGTGACGTCACGAGATCGCAGGCGCTGCTTCTGGATCGGAGGTGAGAAGTTCACATCGTGATGTTGGTTGTTGTTGTTGTTCACCCAGGTACAGCCTCGCTTCTTCCCTCTCTCTCTCTCGTAGTGATAGCAATTGAGTAGCGGCAAGTATGGAATCGATGTCCAGGTTGGAACGTTACTACGTGGGGCCGAGCCATGCAGGCCTTGCCTCCTGCCCTTGCCTGACTGACTTTGCTTTGATTCTCTTAAGTTTAATTTGTCTTCACCTGGCTGACTACTTCACCTCTCAGAGTCTCCATACTCTAGTTCAGGATCATCGCGTTTTTGCTTTGTTTTGCATTCGGGGGCGGGGGGGCGATGCTTCTGCGCGTATTCCCGATTGAGTATATCTGCAGGCCGCTTGTCAACACTGGAATATTCGGACGATACCAGTCCAGACGTTTAATTTTAGTCAGAATGAGACGTCAAAGCATTACACAATTACACTCGCCCACCAACACGCTCCCACTCGAACACTTATACACTCAGATATTTGTCACTCGTGTTGGCTTTGAGGGGAAATCGAACCCGGGTTGCCGGGTTCATAGCCACAGCGCGCTAACCGAAACGCTACCGCCCACCCACAACAACAACAACCCCCATTCGCCACTAAGTGGCGGTGACAGCACCACGACGCTTGTGCCAGGCCATGTGCACCTTGAGGCCACGTGAAGTGTCGAACGCCCGCTGGCAGGAGGTCACGGGGCAGACGCAGGTGCCTCGGGTCGACTGACTTAGATGACTGGCTGATGCACCACCTGTGCCCCCTACTGTGCCAACCCACACACACACTCACCCACAAAAAGACAAAGTTTAAAGAGGTGACTTAATTATATCTATCGACTCTGTCTTACTAACCAGGGTGACCGCTTCATTTGACCAGAATGGTGAACCTGGAATGCTGGATTGGTGACGTTTGCACGGCAGTGGGTTCAGCCTGCTTGAACAGTGCGTGGGCAAAACCTTCCCTGTCACTGAGAGAGGAGGCAGACTGACCAGTAGCTTCCACAGTCGGTGTGGGTGCCCTTGCCCTTTACACCCAAAGCTCGCTTAGCGCTCCTCCAGATGCATTGTTCCTGGACAATTGAGTGCCAAACGATCAGCGTTACAAGGGGTCATCATAAACCCATTGTATACTACGTAGGGATGCGTTCCTGACAATGTTATGTCTTAAGTATGAATAATGAGGTCTTCATTGGAGTATCTGTATTAGCGCTATTAAGAATACAGATGCTAAACATTTAATAAAATAATTATTTATAACATCAATTATGTACTATACTTACGAGTTCATTCTATTTTACTCATCCTACAAGTCAGTGGAGGGAGACAAGGTTAAAGGATCTGCTGGGCTTCCAGTCCGGGTCATTCTAAGAGAAAAGCTTCAGGACCTCCCTGATCTTAGTGCAGCCCTCAATCTAAATTTGTGTGGTGAGGTTTTTTTAGATGGAGCCTGAGACTCTATCCTGGTCGTGTGAGTTCCCAACTGGCTAAACGAGTCAATGTTTTTAAAATATAATCATGACCACGAACCGTGATCATTAAATCGCGGGGGTTGGGGTCTGGTTGGCTTGGAGCATGCGTCGCTCTCATTGGCCGAGCGAACAATGGGGCTGGGTTTGCTCGCGCTGCTGTGTGTTCTCACTCGTGAGCACTTTGTAAACTTAAACAAAAATTAAGAACAAAAATATCCAGGACAAAGAGCGCTGTAACAAATCGGCACTCTAAGGGTCGCACTAAGCGAGGTCTGCCTGTATATTGTGTGTAATATGTATGTGTCTGCAGAATCAATCACATGGAGAAGAGAGGCTTGGCAAAAGCTGGAAGTAAAAGGCACCAATGCATCCAGTGTCCATACAGCACAGATCGGATGGATAACTTGAAGAGACATCAGAGAAAACATTCAGGTGAGAATCCTTTCAAGTGCACTGTCTGTGGGAAGGAGTTTACATTAACAGGAAAGCTAAAGAGGCATGAGAAGATCCACAAGAAGAAAGTGAAATCGACTTGTGAAAGTCAACATGCTGCAATGACCCCATCTCTCATGAAACGGAGATCAGACGAAAATTCCAACTTGGCAACATGGCCAGGAGTGACAGTGAAATGTGAAGAAGTGAAATGTGAAGAAGTGACGGTGAAATGTGAAGATCAAGATTCGACTCCAGGAGCCAATCTACAAGTGCATGGAGGCAGCGTGAAGCAGGAGGAGCATTCCGATTCTGAGGGAGACCGAATCAATCACATGATGAAGAGAGGCATGGCAAAGGCTGGAAGTAAACGGCACCAATGCATCCAGTGTCCATACAGCACAGATCAGAATGGTAACTTGAAGAGACATCAGAGAAAACACACTGGCGAGAAGCCCTTCAAGTGCAGTGTATGTGGTAAGGCTTTTGCAGAGTCAGAAAATCTTAAGAAACATAATAGAACACACACAGGTGAGAAGCCCTTCAAGTGCACTCTGTGTGGGAAGTCATTTGCTCAATCAAAAACTCTTAAAATTCATCAGAGAACACACATAGGTGAGAAGCCCTTCAAGTGCAGTGTATGTGGTAAGGCATTTACAGAGTTAGCACATCTTAAGAAACATAATAGAACACACACGGGCGAGAAGCCCTTCAAGTGCACTGTGTGTGGCAAGACATTTGCTCGTTCAGAAACTCTTCATAATCATCAGAGAACACACACCGGTGAGAAGCCCTTCAAGTGCACTGTGTGTGGGAAGGCATTTGCTCAACCATTAACTCTTCACATTCATCAGAGAACACACACCGGTGAGAAGCCCTTCAAGTGCACTGTGTGTGGCAAGTCATTTGCTCATTCAAAAACTCTTAAAATTCATCAGAGAACACACACAGGCGAGAAACCCTTCAAGTGCAGTGTATGTGGTAAGGCATTTGCAGAGTCAGCATATCTTAAGAAACATAATAGAACACACACAGGCGATAAGCCCTTCAAGTGCACTGTGTGTTGGAAGGCATTTGCTCTTTCAAAAACTCTTCATGGTCATAAGAGAACACACCAAGTTCATACATCCTACAAGTGCCTGGTGTGTGGGAAGGTATTAGCTCATTCAATGTCTCTTAAGAAACATAAGACAACACATTCAGGTGAGAATCCTTTCAAGTGCACTGTCTGTGGAAAGGCGTTTACATTATCAGGGAAGTTAAAGAGGCATGAGAAGATTCACAAGGAGAAAGTGAAATCGACTTGTGAAAGTCAACATGCTGCAATGAGCCCATCTCTCATGAAACGAGAATCAGAAGAAAATTCCCTCTTGGCAACACGGCCAGGATTGACAGTGAAATGTGAAAAAGTTAAATGTGAAGAAGTGACGGTGAAATGTGAAGATTCGACTTCAGGACCCAATCTACAAGTGGATAGAGGCAGCATAAACGAGGAGGAGCATTCCGATTCTGAGGGAGAGCGAGGCAATCCCCAGCAGTTTGTGGATGTGGAGGTGTGGGTGGAGTTTTTGGACAAAGCTGAGTAGCAGGGGCCAGCACATGTGAAATGGAATCTGGGAAGATGTGTAACCAGGGGTTTGAGACAGATTTTTCCAAAGCATTCGCCTTATTCACAGTCTTTTGTGATTACAAAAAATGCATACGGGTGTCGGTGTCATCCAATCAGAGATGAGCTGTATGTACATATGAAGTCATTGAGTGTCAAGTGAAATACAGGCAGTCCCCCAGTTACAGAAGGGTTGGGTTACCGAAGGGTTAGGTTCCAGAGATCCGCAACCCAAATTTCCGTATATCAGAAACTGAACAGTTTTCTCCCAAAATTGAGATAAAATCCCATAGCTAGAGAGAGTTGTGCCTCCCCTACCGAATTACTAGTTCGTTTTCTCTCAATACTGTATCGCGATGTCATCTGTTTTCTATTGCACCTGTATATATGCTCTGCACCTCCTATGGTTCTTTCATTTAATAGAATATCGACCTCATCCATAATTAAACTAATGGAAAATATACTGTATCCAATTGTTTATACCACTACATTTTTATATTTATTTCTATCAGAAAGCAGTCATTCCCGAATGTTCGTTTACCGTGCATTACACTAGGCCTAGACTTCTCCTATTGCTGTTGGCTGAGACCATAAATAATTGAAGTGTAATTGTTTTTTTCCCCATTTATCTGCCAACAAAACTGACACCTTTTTTACAAGGAGTCATGTTTTCATTGACCACAATACCCGAGACAGCTTTCCTTAGAGCCCTATCCTCACATGGTGTTGGACCAGATGACGCCAAAGGCTGTCTCGGGTGTAGACCAATCAATTTCAAGGACAGTGCATACATTATCAGAGTTGTGTTTTTTGTTTGCATTCCAACCGCAGGTATTGTGGTCAATGCAAACATGACTCCTTGTAAAAAAGGTGTCAGTTTTGTTGCCAGATAAAAGGGTAAAAAAATATAATTTTGCTACTGGCAAAGGAGGTTCCAATGGTGAATTGAAGTGTAATTGTGTTGAATAAAGTACGTACAGTAAATTACTCATGAAATAAACTTAAACTGTAAAAAACTACAGGACGATGTGGCGGGTATACACATGGTAACAATTACGAAATTGCTTAACTTTGTATTTATTAAAGTGCATTTAAAAATCAATCGTAAAAGAGATTAGGAGCATACAGAAAAGTACGGCAATGCTAGGCAACCACTTTAATAGCAATGTCCAAAAGTTACAATTTATACTTAATCATGAATTACTTAACCTTCAAAATAGACTCGTAATTTATGCTTTAATAAGCAGCATAATGCTTGGCATATCGACTAAAGTCCCCGGGTTGCAGAAGGACTTGACTTACGGAAATCCGATTTTACGGAAATACTCCCCAAAAAATAACGTAAAACATTTAAATATGCAGATTTTTTAGCGTTACGTAAGCACAAACAATGCAGCGCGGTAAGATTTCGGAAGCGTAAGGCCTTACGCATCGCTCTACCAAAACGTCGCATTCATCGACCACGTGCTTCACTAGGTTAAGGTAAATGGATGTTTTTGGAGTGTTACCTAATTATTTTATTTTCCTTTTGTAGCATTACAATTATTTTCTATGCTTATAACTATATTTTTTCCCCATGTTTCTATTGCTATTTTTTTTAAGTTCATTTAATTAGTTATTTACCAGCGAAACGTCATACTCAAATTGTAAATGTTGTGGATTTAGTTTAACACGTAGGCTTTCGCAACCAATAATAGAGGTTTTCGGGTTAGATCGCGTAAATATATAAATGTGTCATTAAAACCCGCCACCACCCGACACAGCCAGCAAGAGTATATAGTAAGAGTTGTCACGTAAACAGAACATGCCAATTCGTCACTAGTCCAGCGCACCGGTTGTGGCACACATCCCAATTCGTCACTAGTACAGCGCACCGGTTGTGGCACACCGGTGTGCTGTACTAGTGACGAATTGGCATGTTCTGTTTACGTGACAACCCTTACTAGTTGGCTGTGTCGGGTGGTGGAGGTTTACGACGAATTTATACTTACACGGCCTAACCCAAAACTATTGAGTTATTTACTTATGTACTTTGTAACACAATTGCACTTCAATTGCTTTTGGTCTCAGCAAACAGCGATTCGTAAAAGTCTATGCCTAGCCTCATTCACAGTAAACAAACATTCGGAAGTGACTGCTTTCTATTAACAATTCATATTTAAATGTTTCCTGGTGTTCCTAAACAATTGGATACAGTATATGTTCTATTTACATTTTTTGTCGTGTTGAGGTAGATATTCGATTAAATAAAAAATCGTAGAAAGTGCAGAGGGTACGTACACGGCTATCACCAGTGATGATTATCCTTTTTTTCAACGGTTTTACTTAACCTGAAAGCTGTGTCGTGGTCAAATCTTGTAATCTACATTTCGTCCACTTCCCGTTGTCCAATCAATCCCTAATTTTGCACACGTACTCAGTTCTGGTGACAATGCATGCCTGTATCAAAATCGCCATCAGTCAGTCAATTAATTGGCTCCTTTAAAGCAATTAACATTTCGTATGGACGCCTTATTATTTATATATTTGCGTAGGTCAAAAACGCCGCGGTCCCTACACTCTCGAATCGTCTCGCCCAAGAAGCAGGCGCCACGTGTCTCAGGCAGATTCATTTCTAAAATAATAAATTAAATCAGGCGAGCGTCGATGTGGCAGCAGGCGCCGCATCATTGACGTACTTCTTGACGGTGAGTTAAACCAAATTGATTTATTTTTTTTAAATTAAACTTCATTCCTGTTTGTATGTCGTCAAATCTTGTAATCAAAATGTTATCCTGTTCACCTTGTCCAATCGAGTTATTAAACTTCATTCCTCTGTATGCCATGGTCTAATCTTGTAATCTACATTTCGTCCACTTCCCGTTGTCCAATCGATCCCAAATTTTGCACACTCAGATCCAGAGCCAATGCATGCCTGCATCAAAATCGCAATCAATTAATCAATAGCTTGGCTCGTTTAAACCAATTAATATTTTGTATGGAAGCCTTATTTGACAAGTGCTTTGCGAACACGTTTTGTGAAAATAAAAATATTAAAACCAACGTAGGAGTCGAGAGTTCAAAAATCGCCTGGAACATTTTTTTGGTACTTTTTTTGGTACTTTTTTAAGGTCAACGGTAACATTCAATGCTTTGGTGTCTTTACAAAAGTTTATTATCTAGTGTATCCAATGGGACAATGCATGGAGAGGGTCCGTGACGTCATTTTGCCACTACCCGCATTTAAAGCGAACTTGTAACATTTTTTTAAATTTTGATTTAGAGCTTTCGTGACTGCAGGGATTCATATTCTTGGTTCTTTCGGTAAAGTCACGTAGAAGGGAAACAAAATAATAAAAGCATAAAACAATACAATTCTCACGACGTTTCGACTGCAACACAAGCAATCGTCATCAGGTGTTAAAACCACAACAATAAAATTTTCTTGTGGTTTTCACACCTGATGATGAGTGTTAAAACCACAAGAAAATGTTCTTGTGGTTTTCACACCTGATGACGATTGCTTGTGTTGCAGTCGAAACGTTGTGAGAATTGTATTGTTTTATATTTTTATTATTTTATTGTTTCCCTTCTACGTGACTTTACCGAAAGAACCAAGAATATTTATAGTGATGTTTTTTTTCCATTTCAAATTAAGATGTTTGTGGTGGACAAATCGGTTGTTGCCCTTTTCAATATATTCTGCAATCAAATCTGTGAAGTCTGCACTAAACGCTGCTATCCTAATAATATTTACATAGTACGAGGTAATGAAAATACATTGCACTACCAACCGAATTGTCATCAAAGCAAACATTGCAAATGTGTTCACGTTGCAAGCCACACATCAGCAGCAACAATAGAGCTGCACCGCCAAAAGCTCACTGGAATAATTTGGATCGTGGTGAAATTCCAGATGTTATTCGAGTCTTATCAAGAGTTATACCTTTTGTGAACATCATCAAATTCACTGGAGTATTCGGTCAATATGGCTTCCGTGGACAGGCAGTGCTCTTTGCTGTAGACATCTTTGAAGTTAGTGACACACTTCCACGAGCAATGGCTAACACTGGAATGGTTGTCATCAGAACATCTTGAAAATCTCAACATCACACATGCATTCTCTTTACATCGTGAACAGATTTACAATGCACTCAACTGGCTAATTCAAAACAATCCACTTTATCGGGATTTAACAATCAATGAAGAATTTTCTATCTAAAACTTTCGTGACTGCAGGGATTCATAAAGTGAAGTTCAATGTTCATTTATTCTATTAATTATAAGTGTTTCTTGTTTTTTTGTATGCTTTTATGTACTGTACTGTATTTTAATATTGTAAACTTTGTGTAAAAATGGCCCATAATAGGAGCATCCTTGGGTGGGGAACCAATTAATGCTATTTCCATTCATTCTTATGGGGAAATTTGATTCGGTGTTCGAACAATTCGGTGTTCGAACACGGTTTTGGAACGAATTAAGTTCGATCTCCGAGGTACCACTGTTTATACTTGTAGGCTGAGCACGAGAAACGCCTTGCCACACTCGTCACACATGCATGGCTTCTCGCCCGTGTGCTAGAGTTTTTGGAGATGAGCACTGCCCTCAATGTGACATCAGAGCAAGAGATCACTATTGGTCACAGCATTGGAGGTGACTCGGAAGAGGGTGGTGCGCTCATTGAAACCTTAAGCTGCACTCGGACGGCAGCTTAAGGTTTTCCAGGTCGTTGAGCGAGCGCTGGAGGGCGGCTCCGTGCTTGCCGATCATATCCTCGAGCTTGTAGGACAGCGAGCGGAGCGTGGTCTGCAGTTCCCTCTTTGTCGGCCTGTGCGCCTGATTTCTCATCGCCCGAGTCATATGCTTGCAGCACGCTTGCAGAGCCAGCCCTCCTTCACCACCGTCACCTCTGCCATGGCTTCGTAGTTCTTCTGCCGTGGCTCTCTCGGTCTGCTCAAGTACTCCGCCACAGACTCTCCGTGCACTTCACACGAGCATGAGCGACGCGTCACTCCTCACCACCACGACCACAGCGGTCCGCAGGGCCCTGGGTGCTGCTCCCTGTTACTTCAGAAGACAAAGGCGGCCGGGCCTGATGCTACCCACACACCGCCCTGCTGTGCCATGCCGGCCCCCATTTATACTGCTCGGGAACAGCACTTGCCCCAAAAGCACGTTAAGGCTAAATGTGGGTCTTCGTCTGAGTGTGTTTGTCAGTCGACCCGTGGCACCTGGGTCGTGCACATAGCCTGGCGCAAGCATCGTGGTGACGTCACCACCACTCAGTGGCAGATTGCGTTTTTTGTCACCGTTTGTGTGCTTGTGTGTGGGTGTTTGTGAGTGTTGTAATATCTGCGCTTATTTTTTTTACGTCCCGGGAGTCCTGCCTACGACCCCTCCTGGGTGTCAACAGGCCGTCTCGTGTGAGCAGCTCGCAAAACTTACGTTGAACTTCTTTTGCACCGTACACATCCGACCGCGATAATCGGAGCTGCGGGGGAAGGACAACAAACTAGACACGCAAAAAAAGAAAATAGTTTTCAATCTGCCTCAGTGGCTTCCTCATTCATTCACGAGGGGGTGGGTGGCCAACACCACGCCCGACCGCCTTTGTCTCCCCAGTGGCGATGTTCCCACACCACGCCAGTTACTCGTTTGAGGCGAGGGGAGGCCCAGGACCGGTTAAAATAATTGTCACCGGTGGTGGCCGTGAGCGGGAATCAAACTCGGGT